CGGGCTCCGGGCGGCCTCTTCAGGCCCCGCCGCAGCTGCGGGGCCTCCCCTGCCCGCCCTGGGGAAGCTGGTTCGGGTTTGGGCCCCTCTTTCTCCGCTCGGTTTCCACCCCTACCGGGTCACAAACGCAGCCGGTTTCCCCGCGCTGTGCAGCTAAGCTGTATAATAATTATTAAAATGGGAAACGGGGGTGCCGCGGTGCGCTGAGCTGCCTCCGTCCTGCCCGCAGGCTCCTGCTGTACGATGCCACCAGCCAGGCCGCGCAGGAGATCGCGGAGAAAATCCAGGAGCGAAACCGCTGCCAGAGGAACGGGGAGAGCACGGCAAAGGTACCGGGGCGCCCGAGGCGCCGCTCGCGGGACGGCCGCGGGCCCAGGCTTCGCCTCGAAGCGCTGTGGGTGCGAGTGGAGCCATAAATCGGCAAAAATCACCCCGTCTGAGTCAGTTCTGAATTTCCCACTTCTCAGACTGAAAAAAAAAATCCAAACCGAAAAAAACCCATAATGCTCTTCTGGAAAACTTCAGTCAACCCAAACTGTTAGGTCAATAAATAAATAATGATAGAGTGTATTCTTTAAGGTTGTTGTAAAGAAAACAAGAATGTGTTTTCTGTTGATGGCAGCTTTTTGATGTCGCAGGCGTATTTTGGATTTAAGAGTAACAAGTTTTCCGTACGCGGGGTCTTGCAGGCCCTGCAGAAGGGAAAGGGGAGCAGCCCTTGGAGCGCTGGGCTCGCAGCGGCGCGGGGCGGCCCCGGAGCGGAGCCGTTTGGTCCCCGTGCAGGGTGAGCGGGGCCCCAGCCGCGCAGCTCGTTGCCCTTCCGTGGCGCCTATAGGACAGATCAAATGTGAATTTTGCAGCATCTCTTTTTTTCGTTATTGCATTTCTAGCAAAGGCCAGTGTTTAATATAGATGAGAAGCAAACTTTAGCACTTCTGTGTGTATTTTTAGGTTTGCCACCTTTTCACACTTCCTGCTTAAAAGATTAAGTGAAAGGAGAAAAAGAGGGATCCTCAGGAGGCTGCTGGCTTTCGAGCTAAAAGCCTCCTCCTTTCCGTCAAAAACCGTAGGAGTCTCCTTGACTGCACATGAGTCATGACATTAGCTTTTCCCTTGACTGCATTAAGTGGAACATGCATGGAAGTTATTCTTTTATAAGTACTGCTTTCTGTATAGAGGTTGTTCTTTTGCTATAATTTGCATAATTAAAAGCACCGAGTGATGTACTTGGTCGACTGACTGCCCATTATAGCAGGGCTGTCATATGATGTGAAATCTTCTTCACTGCTCTCATTTTTGGTAGCTTTTAAAATAAAATGTCATTTTTGAAATTTCGGAGAAAGCTTCTAAAAATAATCAGTGCTTCTAGTGGATGACTGGAAGATGGACCTAACTTCAGAAGAAGTTTCAGGAGGCCCAAATAAGCAGTTTTTAAAGTGACTGGGGAAACCCTTTCTCTCGCTCTGGAATTGAACATAGGGGAGCATTTAGAAGCAGTGCTTAAAGTGGCTGCTTTCTAAACAACAAAGTGTTTGAAGTTGTACAGATATATGCAAGTGATAGAAGACTAACCAAAAAAAAATTACAATTTAATTCCTCTCTATTTATAGAGCACAAAGGTCTCTGTTGTGCATCACTGTTGTTTGTGACGTGTTCAGGAAAAAAGAAAGGTTGTATTACTGCTGTTTGAAGTCTTTCCTGCACCGTAACCCTTCTAGGTTATGTTTTATGGAAACATTACACACTTGACTAATTTCTTCATAAAATCATTTGTTCCATGCTCTGTGTTTTCCAAGTGCAATTTCCCTTAATCCATTAACAGTTAAAGACGAATATTTGGCAGTGCTTGATTCTACTATAAACAAGTTTCCAACAATGAAAGAGCTGTTTTCATAACAGAAACTCATGTTGAGAAATCCGTGGCTGAGCAATCATATATTCTACGATTAGCAAACAATTTAACGGAGCGAAAGTCTTTGTACAGCGTTTGCCTGGCAGGGAGATGTAAACAGGTTTTTATTTTTGTAGTATTTTGCCATTAGCATGACTTAAAAAAAGCTCTCATTGGTTATTGCTGAATAAAAATAGAGCAAAAAAGTTAAAATGGAAAGCAAAAAAAAACTTTAGGGAGGTATTTTGAGCCAGCACTTGCCATCCGTGAACTTGTCTCTATTCAACTATCTTAAAACTTCCATTGGTTTGGTTTATTTTAGTTTATTATATTTTTTTTCTCTAAAGGAAGTGAAATCCTTTGTTACAAGACAATTTCTGGCCAGGCAGCAGAGAGAATTTGTTTGTTAAGTGGCTCTTGCACCCCTGCACCTTTTGTGTTGTTCTGCTGCCCTGGCCTTGTTAAACGCGCTGCTCCCCGGCTGGATGCGCGCGCAGGAAACGTGCACGTGAAGTGAAAGGCCCTTTTCTCATCCTCCCCGGAGGGCCCCGTGGCCTGAGCTTCCCTGCAGCCCTTTAAACCCCGTTACGGCCCTGGCCTCGAGCGCTCGGCTGCCCTCCGCTGCGGCTGTGCCCCTCCGTGGCTGCCAAAGCAGAGCTGCCTCCGTTCCTGTCCTTGTGTCTGGTAGGGTTTGACTGCCTTTGTTTTTTTGCTTTTTTTGCTGTGGGTGTTTTTTTTTTTTTTTTTTTTTTTTTTGTATTTTAAAAATTATTATTTTTATTTTCGATAAATCCAACTCCGTGCAAGTATCCAACACAGTTTAACTGAAAGGCAGGATGCTTGCAGCAGGGTGACTGCTCAGCAAGACCTTGCTATCTGGCTGTTGCTGCTATGCTTTTCCAGAGCTCAGGAATGAGAGTCCGAGCGAATATTCCTTCTTCCTTACTATTTCAGCACTCGAGGCATCTCAATTTGCTAACGACTGTAACCCACAGCATGGTTAGTATCTTGTTTATAAGGACATCGTTCCTAATTAGAATGCCTGGCAAAGGCAATTGCCTTTATAATGTGTTTTTCGTAGTTACGCGCTAGATAACTGGAATCGGAAGGAAATTAAGGAAAAAAGCAACACAGAGGATAATGTCATCCTGATTTGGGGGAAAGAGGAGGAGAATTCCCACAGTCCTCAGATGGGCTCGGGGCAGAAAGGAATGTGCACGACCTAACTGTGCTTTTAGTAAAACCAGACCCCTATAAACTCAGTGTACGTCAGCAGCAAGAAGAGATGGAGTGTCCTAGATGGCATTGAAAAATAAAATAAATCTGAATTTCTTGTGGAAGAAGAAATTCAGTTGGTGGAGGAAAGGTCCAAACCCGTAACAACCTCCCCTGTAATCATGGGTGCTGGGCAAGAAACCTAATGGCAGCAAAAGCTGGCGCCTCTATTCGTGTTAAAGATCAGAGGGAAGAACTGGAAAACTAACTGGAAAATATTAAAATGTGCTGAAATATTTTGCCCATATAAAGGAATCTGTTTATAAAGACTTGAAAGAGAGCTCTCCATATTAAACAGCATTAATGCATTAGAATTGTGTTTGTGAAACCAGCTCTATTTATCTAATTATTTTGTAAGCAGAGCAGTTAACTGTGTTGTTCCCTGGGCAGCTCTGGAGGTCGCTCCTCTCCCTTCAGAAGGAAAATATCCCTGCCCATGCAGCTGAGGCTGCCCGCATTGTCACCAGGTCGCTCCTCTCCCTTCAGAAGGAAACACAAAAATGCATGTAGGAACACAAAAATGTGCACAAACAAAACTCCAGCAACAAATCTTTGTGCTTCCCCCTCAGCTCAACGTGGCCATCAGGTCGTCACTGCAGAGTCTCAAGGAGAAGATCGATCAGCTGAAGGACTTGCTGCTTCGGGCAGTATCAACGCACCAAATGTATCCGTGTAAACGTCATCTCAGTGACCTTCCTGTGCTGTAAGAGGGGGTGGAAAAACATGCTGGAGTTGGGAAGAAACTTTGCTGTGCAGCAATGGCTTGGTTTTGAGGTTTGGTGTTTTCATGGGCACGTGGCAGTGTGGATGGCACTAGCAGAGACTGCCTTGAGCTACAGGGCTGCATCCTCAGAAGCATCTTGGTATAAAAAAGAAATTATAGGTTTCTTTTGTAGGATTATTAGCCTAGGGCCTGACTTGGGTCTGCTGCTCTCTACGTGGGAGGTTAGTGAGGCCTAAGGACACTGTGCGAGGAGCGTGTCCATCTCCCTGTAAAGAGGCATGCAGGAACAAACTGATTAGATGAGTGAGTGATTACTTTCAAGCTTACTGTAGCAGAAATCTTTTCTTAGCATGAGCCTTGTGAATGCTCTGAGGATGCTGGGTACAAGTTTCCTGTCATTTGAGTACCTTAGAGCAAGTGGATGCTGCTGCAAGGCAGAAAACACACACAAATCACTATGGCTAGTGCATAATCTTCTTAAAAGTACTAAGAAAAGAATAGTCTTTCAAAATGCCTGTCACTGAGATTGATTAAAAAAGCAAACAGACCTGCTACTGTCAAAGTGATAGTGCTCCAGGATATCTTGTATTTCAGAGACACTGAACAGATTATTTTTTTTCCTGCTTCAGCTGCTGCAAAGGAGTCCTGAGGATAAACTATAGATGGGATCAGATGCTCAAAGTAGATTTTTTCATTTTTTTCACTGTTTCATGTACTGAACTTTGCTGAGAACTATTGCCATGGTCTGTGTAATGAGCCTTGGTTCTGGTGAAATAGGATGTGAAGTACCCTGCTGATTTCAGCAGCTCCGTCCTGCTTTGGGGCTGCCTCCTTCATATCAAGTACTTACAACTCGTGCAGGATAGAGCTGTTTTAAGAAAAGCCGTTCATTCCATAAGCATAACCCATGTGCTAGTGTCATATGTTGTCAGTGTTAGAGTACATCACCTGTGTAGTGTTTTTTAGTAATAAATGAAAGAATTATCATGCTGGGTTATGGAGATACCATTCTGAATTCTCAGGCTAATTTGATAGTATATACCCTCCCAGTTTTATCCTTAATTTGAGATGAGGTTCTGAAACCATTTTCTTTGAGATTTGCAATCCTCAGAAGCATGCGTAGAATAAAAACAGTTTTCGTTCAGAATTGGGTGACTTAATTTTCTTTTAGGTGTTGTATCCTGTTTCATTAAAATGCTTATTCTGGTAGTCCTCATGACCAACTCTGGGTTGGATAGATAATACAGTTTATATGTGATATGAAGATGAGTGTGTTTTTAGATATGTATTCTGATCTTTGAAAATTGTTTTTTTCCAATTTGGAAAATTCCAGTTTGATGGTGCAATATTAGCCAGTTATGCAATACTAGCCAGCCACATGTGCGATCCTACAGTATGGAATTGAAAGCTTCTTTTAAAGTTTGGACCTTAACCAAGTGCCACTAGCACACAGCTGGAGGGGGACAGGAGGCAGAACTTGGTGGACGACCTTCTCACGCGACAGAGGCAACTGCAGGCGTCGTACAAGAATGAAGGCACAGAGCCAGATGTGATAAGGTAGGACAGTGTCCCCGGAACCGGGCAGTGTGATTTGTGCTTGGAATATGTCTGAAGGTGATGCCGAATGCATCCATAGAATTCATCTACCTCTGCATGTAGCAAAGCAGTTTTACTCTTCTAGAAACCTTGTGCCCTTTCTTAACAGCGATATCAGATATGCCTTCCAAGGCTGGAGAAGACACAAAGGAGCGGAGAGTTACTCAGAAGCGGTAACGTTTGACTTTGTGATCTAGTCCAGACTATATTGAGCTGGGCTGCTAGGTTTGTGTGCATTGTTGGATAAAAAACCTGTTAGGGCAAAGCTTAAGCTTCAAATGTTTCCCCAATGATCTTTCATTTGTTTGTTAGAATCAGCAGGATGCATTCAAAGGGAATATCTTTTGGTTTCCCTTTTGGTTGTATCAGAGCAGCACAGTACAATGTCCTGGGGAGAATTGTTCCCCAACAGACCAGTTAATAGCCTGAACGTTGTCCTCTCTTCATACAGTTCTTTCTTATATGGTCCCTTTCTAATTGAGGGAGTTATATTTGTCATCTCATGCTTGTTTTTAGAAATCCTGGATGGTCTCTAACTGAGCAGGAAGAAAGTGGCAGCTGTTTTTTGCAGTGTGAAATTCAAACCTCTTGCCTGAGTTACTCTAACAAACTCTAAGCAGCCCTCAAGTTGGATGTGATGGGAGTCCCAGAGCTGCAGTGTGCATCACACACGAAGTACTTCAGGCACAGCTTGATAAAGGTTGAAAGACCTGTTTATAAGATGCCTTTTAATGCAGCTGTTGCAGGGATGGGTTGTTTCTTATGATTCGTCATCAGCCTTTTGAGTTTTACCCATTTCTAGTTAAAACAGGACTGACTTTTTGCCAGGTAATTGTACATGCAGGTATTTGCTACCTGGCATGCCTCTGAATTTTAGCTAGCTTTAGTTTCTCCATAAGACGTGTGCAACTTTCCAAGAAAATTCTTGCAAGTGCACATCTGAGAATTTTTATGTCTGAGTTACCAAGTTTGTTTTTCTTCGAGGTTATGATCAATGAATTCATTACTGGGGAGGGAGAAGGGAAAAAGGGTAGCAAGAAATGAGTTTCGTTCCTAGCTGACAGCAAAGTGAAGCTGTCATCTATTTCCTCTGCAAGCAAAAGGGGGTAGATTGGCCATGTTAGTGTTGGATTAGGGCTGTGGTACCTCAGAGCTGAAATGTCTCGTGCCAAGGGACAACTTCATTCTCATGATTCACTGGCTAGTGTGCTTTGATCTCTATTACCAACATTCATGCAAAAAATTAAAAGCTGTACTACTGAACAGTGCAAATTACCTGTACCCTGACCCTCTGTAGGTCACTAAATAATGCCGTGTTTTGGAGAATTATGATTTTGGCCAAATTCCAGTGCAGATAATTGCGTTTGCTCTTGCTAATTTTTCCACTGCAGACTCGGTTAATCTTCCGTCCTTCAAAATGGTGCAGAAGAGAGGGGAAGCTGCAGCCTCTGGGTCATTGCAGAGCTTGTATTTCCACGGATGGTGAAATTATCCTTGACTGCCGCCTGGAATTAGTGAATATTCTAATTTAAAGTTACTTGTGAGCTAGTGTGTTCGCTTTGTAATTTTTGTGAACATACTTCTCTGGAAAATTGTGTGTATATATAAAATAGGAGCTATTTGGACCTTTTGATTAACGCGTGGCAGATTTAACGCCCGGGCACGGACTCGTGGGGCAGCTTGTGGGTCACTCGGGGGCGTCCCCTGCCCCACGGGCTGGGCACAGTGTGGCCTGCTCGGAGCTTCCTCCTTGAGCCGGGCACAGGAGTCTACGGGTATTTCTATATTGGACTCCCATGGGAGAAGTGTGGTCTGGTTTCTAGTATGAGCTTTGAAATGCGCTGTATTCACTTGTAGTCCGAAGGGTATTTCAGCTGGGAATGTACAGCTCTGTCTTTTATACACGCACGTGCAAAGTTATCTGTGTGAGAGAGTGCATGAGAGCCCTTACGGGAGGGTTTTTCGCCTTTTTAGTCAGCTCTCAATCTTAGAACAAAACTTCATACAGTTATAAAAAAATTAGTGTCTCTGAAGGAAAAACGCTCACCTTTTTTTCCTACATGCTTTGAATTTTTCAGAGCTGTGTGCTTGAAAAAGGCAAAGATGGTTTTCATGCTATTGCAATGTAAAAATGAAGTGTGCGTGGCAGTGCTGTGGCATGCTGCTAATGTTAAAAAAAGATCTTTTTTTTTCACCTGATTGCTGTGTATTTTGGACCAGGTACTGGGGTTATCTCAAAGTCTCACTCATAGTTTCCCATATTGTCTTGTCTCTTTTATTTTTTTCCTCAGGAAGGAGTGTGTGGTCGTGTTTTGCCAGGATCACATCACTATGGTGGTAGGGAGGTGGGATGGGGAAGGTCGGTCTCTTTTTGCTGGGGGCCCATTGGGTCAGAGCTGCATCCTGCTCAGCTCTTTCCACACATTTTTCTTTTCCAGTGGAGTGTTTGATACAGCCAGACCAACTTGGCCAAGGACCAATTTCCCCTTGCAGTTCCTCACCTTTGAGAAACGGAATAGTGTCAGTGCAACACCCACTACAGGGAGTAAAACTCTGGGCTTCCCTCTAATCCATTAATTGTTTTAGGGTTTCAGCATTCTCTTGAATAGTAAAATAGCAAAATTTTGGGGGGAGGCTGATGATGTGAGTAGGCTCTTCCATGTTACCTGCTTGGATCAGTGCATAAGCTCATGCAGCCTTGCAGAATGGGCTGTGCAGCACGAGGGCTCCACGCGTGGCCTGGCAGGCGGTGCCGCTGCCAGGACCCAGAGCTGCCCTGACGTGGAGGTGCTGGGGCAGCAAGGAGGAAAATAGCAAAATCGCAGCATAATTTCAAGCTCCATTACAAGTGACCAGGGAAAGCAGGATTTTGCAACACAAAATAACATCAGAGACAGTACTTGTGCTATTGCAGGGCTTGGAATTTAATAGTTGTCTTTTAACTTGTTTAATTTAAAACAAAGCCAGGAATTCTCTGCCCGGTGCCTGGTGATTGCCCATCCCTTCCGTACTCCTCCTTGTAGGTCTCGTTTCACTGGGACAGGCAGAGAGATGGCCAAGGCCTGAGTGATTGGTGAGGAAGCCACATTCCTGTTTCTTGCTTGAAACTGGTCTGTGTGGATGTCAGCAAGTAATTTGTGTCTCCTCTGCCTGCCATATTGTTTGTAAGGATGAAAGATAACATCTTCTAATATGGTTAATTTGCTTTTTACAGCACTACATTTCTTTAGGCTTGTTGTAGACTTCGAGAACAACCTGCTTTAGTTTTTAGCAAACTGCAAAGGCCGCTCTTCAGTGTGTCTGAAGCCTGAGAGTGAGATTTACCCACTGCATAGAAAAATCAGCACATGATGTTTGATTAAGTTCTAGCAGTGACACTTTTCTCTTGTTCTGTATTGGTTTTCTGTATCTAATCCATCGCTGATGTGACAGCACGAATTTTCAGAAGTCTTTTTTTTTTCCCAGCAGTCATTCCTTTCATTAACCTTCTTGCACCACTGATCACATATTTATTGTCCTCATGGCCTATAATTGTGAAGGTTTCCCTAAAATTAATCTTCGTTTATATTTGGTCACCATTCAGTGAGTTTTACATCCTTTGAAAACTGCCGTAAAGCTATTTCTGAATGTGAAGTACAGTTGCCTTAATGCTCTTAATATTTATCCTAACTGACAACTTGGGCCAGAACACAGGGCAAGACACTACATTAGTTTGGTATAGCATTAGTTTACCTTCCGGCGTTGTCGGCCTTAATTAAGATGCAACTGGAATTTTCCAGGGAAAAGACTGTGCTGTTTGCATGACTCTGAATAGTCACTTAAATTTCCTTTTAACTGTCTTTTAATAAACAGTTTCAGTATCTTCTCCCCTTGTTTCTCCTTGTAAAGAGATTTGCACAGTTTCTCATAACACAGACTTTAATGGAGCAGAAGTCCCAGGGTCTTCATATCATTTGAAAGGAAAAAGTAGAAAAAGCAGGTGGAAATGTTGACTTTCTTTCTGGGAATCATGCATAATAACAAGCTTCTGTGGGCCTTTGAACATTTGTAGAGGCAAATGAATTGAGTATATCCCTCCTCCTTTCAGACCACGTCGACAATATGTAAATATGTATGGAGATCACTGGTGAGTAAATAAATTGTGTGTACTCTGACATGCTTTCCTTGATTTTTCTTTTGATACTAGAAAACAGAAAAATGAGATTATCGTGAGACACAAAACACCTCAAATAATAAACATCTTGGTAACGTTTAGGAATGTCCATATTCTATTTTTAAACACAATAAATGCTAACCCACATTTAAATACTTGTCTCTCGTATGTAAGATATTTAGTTCCTAATCTCAATAGACATGTGGATGTCTGACTTTAATCAGTAAGCCATTAGGTGCTTAAATACCTTTACTAACCTGGTTCTTATTTATGGAGGAGGAAATACTCTTTGGAAAAGTGAAAATAGCAGGGTTTCTAGGTGCCTTTAAAATACTCCTTGCTTTTCTTCCCCCCTGTTACTACAGGTGTTTGTAGCTGCAGTGCTCTTACAGCAGGTGTGATTAACATTGGGCCTAGAAAATCAACAAAAATAACTTCTAATAAGGCAAGAAGAGGTGGGTTGTCTGTCCAGAAAGCCGTTCCTGAGAACATGTGAGTCGTAAGATCAAATCTATGGCCTGGGGCAAGATTTTTCCAGCATTCGTGTGTCTTTGGCTGCGTGGGCACGGGGCAGCGTGGTTGCGGTGGCTTCAGCATCCTCCTCGCCACCTCTAAGCTGTGGCTGTGTAATTAGGCCATCTCTCTGTATCACACTCTTCATTTGGGAGCACTTACATGGTATATGCAGACAAGAAGGTACCCTCATGCAAGCAGCTTCCAGCAGCGTAAGGTGGCCCTGCACTTGCTGCAAAAGCTGAAGGTTCTTGAGCTCACCTGCAATTTAAGGGAGATTCTAGGATGGTGGTGGAATCTTCTAAGGGTTGGTTTGAGGCGAGGTTCTCTAACGACCTCCTTCAAGTCAGGACCGTGATTGTGGGGAAATTGTATATACTTGTGATGTAATGAATAGCAAAGAACCAGAGAAAAGTAAGTCAAAACCCCCAATTCTCAGGCCTTATGCTTCAGGTTATGCCTGCCTGATTGTTATTAATGATTAATGCTCATTAGTCCCAGGAAAAAAAGTCAGTAGGAGGGAAGCTTTCAAGGCTAAACTACTTTCATGTTATATGCCTTATGTTTTGCCTCTTAAGTTTTCTCGAAACTACCTGAAGTTCCCTGCCAAAAATTGTTTGTGTATCCAGCACTGTTACTGTTTTACTCTGACGTGGGCTTACCGAATCTTAATGAAATGTGCTGCATCCGTAATGAGAATAAACACCAAGTGTGACATGCTCGGGGGCTAATGTTCTTTTTTCTTGTGGTCAGAGAGGTTTGAACTAGCAGGCAGGGAGCAGAGGCCTGGGCATGAACAGAGCCCCGTGTCTTGTCCCTACAGTAGCTGTAGACCGTTTTGTGAGCAGAACAAAGCGGGTCTCGCAAGGGAGGTTTGTCTTTTCCTCTGGGTGTGATTGCATAAGATGCAATTTCTTTTTATTAGGAATTCCCCCTTCCCCTATAATTCCCTCATTCCTGAGGAGAGCAAGTGGGCCGTAGAGATGAGTTTTTTGCTTTGATGTGGACTGCATGTTTTATAGTATGTTTAGGATTGGGCTTTGCCCAATTCTTGCATAAAAAGTAAGGGGTGATGTAGAAAGAAGATGATAATGTCTAATATCCAGAGAAGTGACTATTACTCTGAAGAAAATGTTTATTGCAGTGTGTATTTTGGGTTTCGCATAGAAAATTGAGGCTGCCGTGAAATAAAATGTGAGTGTAAACACCGTGATCAAGATGACCTCTCCGAGATGCCTGCCCTGCTGCGGGAGTATCTTCCCTGTGTAGTTTATTGCTCGGCCACCCCAGCCAGGCTCCCAGCTCTCCAGCGGCGCTGCTGCTGCCAGGACAAGTGCTGATGCGGCTGCGCCAACGCGCGCCCGGCGGCCACGTGGCTCCGTGTGGGCAGCGTGAGGCAACCGCGGAGCCTCTCGCGCCGCAGTGGAGCGTGGAGCTGCTCCGTCGTCACGCGAGCAGGAGTCATTGGGCTTGCAGGCGTCACGGAGCTGCTGATGGGCCCTGTGGTCACCTGTTTGTGCAGCCCGTGTGCGCTTGGCCTTCACTAAAACCAGTGGGACTGGGGAACTGAGCCACAGGTCACAGAATCACAGAAGGGTTGAGCTTGGAAGGGACCTCTAGAGACCATCCAGTCTAACCCCTGCTCCAGCAGGGACACCCAGAGCAGGGGCACAGGGTGGCATCCAGGTGGGTTTGAAGATCTCCAGAGAAGGAGACTCCACAGCCTCTTGGGCAGCCTGTGCCAGGGCTCTGGCACCCTCACAGGAAAGAAGTTCTTCCGCATATGGAGTTGGAACTACCTGGATTTCAACTTGTACCCATTACCCCTTGTCCTGTTGCTGGCTGCCACCAAGAAGAGTTTGGGCCCATCCTCTACATTCTCCCCTCAGGTATTTGTACATTTTGATAAGATCCCCTCTCCATCTGATGAATGGCATCAGGAGCAACGTGGTGTTTTCTTGGCTGTGAGATGTGCTCGCTCTTAGTTGTTGTGCAGGCAGAGCTTGGGAGATGGCCTGCTGGCACCAGGAAGGGTTGCCCTGTTCTCTAGGCCTGTTTGAACGATTCTGGTGGGAAGTCTTGCAGTTGAGAAGGTACTTGATGGGCTTTTTGTAAGTGCGTGTGCTCACGTGCCTTCTCCTCATTTTGGGGAAAGGAGAGTTTTCATATTCCCATGTTGAAATAACATTTGCTATTTTATTTGCTAGCTCAAAGCTTCCTAAATGCTCTCCTGCCAGTGCGAGTGATTACATCGTAAGTGAGAGAATACCCATGTTCCTGCTCCGTGGCCTTGGAGGGCGACCAGTGAAGGTGCTCTGAGCACTTCAAAGAGAGCTGCTCTATAACGGTATCGTTAAGGGGATGTCCAAGCGACCAGGCCACCGATTGTCATATGACCCAGGTTTTGTTTAAGATTCAGTCTTGCTGATCGTTCTTCCAAAGCTATAAGCCTTGATGTGTGGCCTTGGTCTAAAGTAAGCACTGGTTGACTAATCTAAGTTACTTGGGAAGTTTTATAAGAATTATGGGTGAAACAATGCCTTCGGAAAGATAAGCCCTCACTTGTTAAGCACTGACATAGCCCCCTGATTTTAAACCCCATCATCTTTTATACTTGGGCACACTGCTAAGCCTTGTAATTAGTTAAATCTGCTCCTATAATCAAAAGCTATCCGCACACTCCACTGCTCTGTGACGGTTTCAAAGATTTACGTGATTAACTTGGCGGAGGCAGTGGGTGGCTAATTGGATAAGCTTTAATCTTCACACCGCCAAAGCGAAACATGGTAGGATCAGAGGAAGTAGGAAGTTATGCTATGTTGTGTGGGGAGGTAGTTACCAAACATGTCAAAAAGATTATTGTAACAAGCAGACCAGTTGTCATGACCCAACCTAGAAGAATAGGGCAGATTATTAGGGGAGAGAGAGAGAATGGTGCAAATTATTTCAAATTTGCTTGCCTTGGCTTTTTTAAAGGCAGAAATGGTTGCAGAGTTGCTTTCTTGTTAGCTAGGAGACAGCTTTACATTCCTTTAGATTTATTTAAGTATTTTTTTTGTCAAATGTTGTTAACTCCAGGTTTTGTGGACATCCTAAATGAGCTGCCAAACTGAGTGGACTGTAGTGGTCTTTATATCCCCAACGGGTAATGCTTCTGTTATGTCTAGCTTTGTGAACCTGGTAGCAATTGTCATGAGACTTGAAAATACAAGAGTGTTTTTAATCCCCCTCCCAAAGCAATGAAGGAAATGTAGGTAATGTAAAATTGTGTTTCAAGGTTGCAAACCTTTGTCTAAACCAAACCTGATCTCCTTAGTCAGGAATATATGGACAATTTAATGGAGGTGCAAAGGGATGAAATGCAGAAATATTGCAGCTACTCCATTTCAGATGTTGCTCATGAAAGCCAGCTGGTTGCTGGCAGACTGAAGCAGCTTGGGTTCTGCTCTTGAGTAATGTTCCAACATGATTAAAGTGAGATTTTGTGAGTTACAGTGAGGACTTTTTAGTCCTGCAGGAACAAAATTAATTTTCTGTTCCCGACAGGTCCATTACTTTGAAGGACAGATGAACAAATACTGTAAGTTTTTAGTGGGAACAAATTGGGTGTTCATAAATGTAAGTGTCCATGAATGTAGTACGAAGTGTGTAGTGCAGTGGGCACAATTGAGGGCGTATGTATCTCGTTTATGGACAACCCAAAATTTCATGTGGTAGAGATGCACAGTCATTTCTCAGCAGTGGCAGTTCATTTCCTGGACAGGAGATGTCTCTAGTTCACCATCATTCTTCAAAGAGCTCCTAGACGCGAGTCCTGGATTTTACTTAAATGTCTTCGGCATAAAACTTTGGTCATCTTTCTAGAGTTCTGCAGGAAAAATGTATATAGAAAGTGTCTATTTAACTTCTTTTCTCTTCATTGATATTTGTGCCTAATTAGCTTTTTTGATACAGAGTTTAATGCAAGGGTTTGATCACAAAATGATTTCAAGACTCTGCTTGTTCCATACAATATTTCAATGTATCACAAGAAGAGACACAGAGTCAAATTAATTAAAAAGTCTCACAGTAATAAGTTTATGAATATATTTTGAGAAATACTTTTATGTTATCTGTTATCTGTTGTTGTTTTAAGGAAGTGTTTTGAGAAAAAGGATAAAAATGGGAATAAAATGAGGAGTTTAAGAGAGCAGAGCAGAAAGCAAAACCCCTTGCTCCTGTGCTGCTCTCGAGGAAGCAGCCTTGTTGGTGTCACCCCAGATCCGAGCAGTGGCTTTGGGTCCAGGCAGCGTGTGGTCTGTCATTAAATGTTTATCTTGTAGCAAAGCACAATGAGAAGCTGAAAGCAGAGAAGCAGAAATCTGGTACTGAGAAAAATATTTAAGTGGCATTTCATTTTACTACTTAAATTTATGTATCTTGGACGTGAAAAACTTGTTTTCTGTTGTAACTAGGGAAGTGTCTCTAATGCTAACAGCCTTAAGTCATAATTCTTTTAAGAGAAAACCCGTAACTTGATTACTTCTACATGTAAGAGTGTGTGCCTGGCTTCTTGTTCCTCCCTGTGCCAAGCCAGGAAACGGAGCAGAGGAACTGTGTGACTTCGGTCTGTGAATTGCAATCCTGAGCCAGCCTGAACAGGAACAAGAAACTAATAATCTCATCGGAGCTATGTCTGTACTAACGTGTCGAACCCCTTGTGCTTTGGAAGTTGTCAGGCTGTACAGCAGTGTGGTCAGAAGTTTGTATCTTGATCACAAAGCAGATGCATGGAGAATATGTGCACTTCAACCCTCTCTGTTTTTTGTAACAGCTTTGAATGCTCTGCTCTACTTGCAAACTGTATTTAGAGTGAACATATAAAAACTGTGTATTTTAACATAAAGGTTTTTTTTTTACAGCAAATGTAGTTCTATCTTTATTGCTGGAAATGCTGTGGAACCTGCAGATGTATTTGTTATTGGAGATAATTAGGTTCCTTTGGACAATTTCTGCCACGATGGCAGAGAATTGCATGGAGTTAAGACAAATATGTGCAGTTCCATTGGTGTCAGCTCGTCGTGCACAGAGTGCAGAATGACCCGAGTTTCATGTTTAAAACTATAAAAATTACTGAATTTGTTTTCAGGTCTAGCCTGATGACCGGAGGAGTCAAACGAGGTGTAACCAACCCATGGCTCCTGGAAGAACCTGAGGAAACCAGGGCACTTGGCTTTGACGATATCAGGCAGCAGCAGCGAAGGATCATACAAGGTAAAAGAGCATTTTTGTTTTACAGAAGCATTGGTAAGACTGAGAGACAGCCTTTATTAGAAAGTCAATGCAATAAGCTGTACCCAAGTTGTATAACCTGGAGGGAGATGTCAAGTTTTAGGTGGTTGTTTTCTCTATTTGAAAGAGCAGCATTGTGCAATATTCTTATCTAGGGGTATCTTCTTCAAGCAGCTTTTCAAAAATGTCCCCATTCCTATTCAAGCAAGGTTTTTTTTTTTTTTTTTTTCTTTTCCTGGGGTAGGGAAGGAGAAACCACTGAAACAGTTAATAGCTCTTGTTTCTGAGTGTATAAATTTGTAAGGCTTCTTTCTATTCAGGTTTGAGTATTCAGTGGTTACCTTTTGTCTCCATTTTAGTGAAGCTGAGTGTGTTTTGAGGGAAGAAACTGAGTTGATGCTGATGGAATAACTCTTGGCTACAGCTTGACTCGAAACGGGCAAAACCTTACAGGGCACCCTTGATTTTGCCTGTGTTAGTGGTTTAGTCTGCAGCAGAGACCTCGTTAGTTGAACTGAGTGCAGTGGTGTTGCTGCTGTGCTTCAAGCCAGGTAAACATTCACTGGTAACTATTGCTGGAGTGGAAGTAGGTAAGAATTCCCTGAGTGGAGGAGCGCCGCAGCCTGCTCGCCCCAGGAGGCGGGTGAGGTAATGGCTCCGTGTAATTTAAGCGTTGGAAGCGATCGGATGCCGTGGGCCTCCCGATAAGGCCGCTCGAATTAGCGTGTGAAAGCGTGTTCCGAGCGGCCGCGCCGCGGGGCTCCGGCTGGTGGAGCAGACTGCCAGTCCCGCC